CTTCTACAGGCTTTTATTTTGTTTGGATGTGACACTGGGAGTTGCTGGGGTGACTATGAGGAGAGGAGTGCTTGCCAGAAGACAGGTCACCACAATGACGATGGCAGAGTGGAACAATGGAAAGGAACTGGGTTTGAGACAACAGAGCTAAACAGCTGAGAGCCAACCCTGGAGTGTCCACGCTCCTTAGCATTCAAACCCCTGAGGAGGGCTTCAGTTGTGCACACTTGAAGACACCCACACACTGGCCATTCCCTTCACTGTGGTTTTATGTTCCTGCTGCCAGTTCATGCTCTCTCTCCACAGAACACTCACCCTTTCTCCCAGCTCCTTCTGCAGAAATCCGATCACACTTCACTCCCACCTCAAGCCTCTCCTCCATGAAGCTGTCTTCCAAAATCCCTCTCTTGATTGAGCTCACCTACTTCCTGACCCAGACTTGTAGCTCCTGTAGGAAGTGGCTTTTCTTGGCCTCATGTTCAGGTGTTTGTGTACCTGCCCTATAAGGCTGCGGGTTCCTGACCTGAGGGTCCCTGCCTCACTATTCTCCATACTCCCCTGCCCCTGATCCATACACCACACACACCCCTTGCAAACCATGGGCCTCCAAGTGAAAAGTGTTACACTAAATGCACCAAGATATCAAGTCTGTTTGAATGCCCAGAAAAATTCTGCTGTTCATCATTTTCTGAATTCAATGCTAGAAACAATGATTCTTAGTATAATTACAAATGTTTCCTTTTGCTTATCTGTATTTTATAACTTTTCTATAATAAACTTTAATGTGTTAATTTTTTAAACAAAAAAAGGAAACTATTTTAGGGCCGGCCCCATGGCGCACTCGGGAGAGTGCGGCGCTGGGAGCGCAGCATCGCTTCACTGCGGGTTCGGATCCTATATAGGGATGACCAGTGCGCTCACTGGCTGAGCGTGCACCAAGCCAAGGGTTGCGATTCCCTTACCGGTCACGAAAATGACAAAAAAAAAAAAGGAAACTATTTTAAAATAAAAAACAAAGTAATGAGAAGATACTCATGTCACATAACTAGAGTAGTGGTTATTAGCATAGACTGTGGAATCACACTGCCTGGATTCAAATCCCAGCTCCACCCCGTACAAGCTGTGTGACCACAGACAAGTTAACTAGCTGCTCCATGCCTCGGTTTCCCCATCTTAAAACGGTGATATATGAAGGTACTTCAAAATGCTCATGGAAAGATTTGTATTATATTTTATTTCTATTTTTCCACAAACTGTTTGAAGTAGCCTCATAACATGACCTATCTTCACGGGTTGTCTGAGGATTAAGAAAGATAATACATGCCAAGTGCTTGGAACTGAGCCTAGCACATAGTCAGCGCTCAGTAAAAGGCTGCATTCTTCTACCAGAATGTCAGCACCACAGGGTAGGAAGCTTTACCAGTGTTGCCAGCACCCTGAACAGTGTCTGACTCAGGCGTGCTCAAGAGGCATGAGCAAGGAGCTGCTTCCAGTTACTTCTGCTCCGGGGCCACTTCCAACTGCTCAGCTCCTTCCTGGCTCAGTGTGAGATCATACCACACCTCCCAAGCGCCAGCACCCCTTCTTCCCAGCCCTGGCCCACCTCGGCTAGACCCTCTCCCAGGTCTGCCTTGCCCCACCGCACCCTCGCCAACCACAGCCTCACACCTCTCTGGCTCTCGTGCTTCGCAGGTCCCTTCTCTGCGGCCCCTTCGTCCCCACTGTCCACACCCACCTGCCTCACTCTCTCAGCTCTTCCTGCTCACAGCACATTCACCCAACACTCCGCTCTCAGATTCCACCACTTCCAAAGCAGCTTTCCTTCCCCACCTCACACTCAGAACACTGGATGCAGAATGTTCTGCCAGCATCACCTTAGCCCAACCCCACTCATCACCTGGTAATCCCAGCCAAAAATGAAAAACAGAGAAATCCAATCTGGCCAAGACAAAATGTGGCTTAAATGACCACCATAAAGTACAGGGAAGAATTAGCAATGATTTGATTGTGCCTAGTATGTTACTCTTCCCTAAACAAAAGAGATTTGTGGCAACAGCTGTCTTTTTAATCCAAGGAAAGTGTGAACCTCTATAAAAATGTAAATTTTAAAATCTGTATAGGGTCTACAGGGAACGTTCTTCCAAATGCTCTTTTAATGATTGGCCTCTAAAGTCCAGAAAGCAAGTGTAGGCACTGGCTGGGAACAAACGCTGGCCAGCAGGGACACAGGGACATGGGCTGGGTCAGCGATGACTCAATATACACGGTTCATCTCTGCACAGCCCCAGTGCCGTCTTCTCTCTTATTTGGGGACGAATATTTCAGTGTGTGGCCACTTCTTTCACCTTGCTTCCCCCTTCATTATATTTTGACATTTAGTATTTTACTCAGGGGAACGAGCAACTTTTTTTAAAAAGGTTTCTGGGAGCAAAGGGTAGCTGGATAACCTATAATTGATAATGATTAACCAGTACATTTTTTTAAAGTTGGTTGTATAAAAATGAGGAGGGCTGATGAATCAGCCTGTTCACTATCTGTGATCTGTGTCTAATAACTTGTTCTAACTCATGGTTAAAGAGGGAGGACAAAAATGAGAGCGGAACAGTCACATGCTCGGATCGCTTTCTTTAAATGGGTCAGGTCTGTGGTTAAGTATTAAAAGGAAAAAAGATTATTTTGCCACAATAACAACTTTTTAATCAAGCCAAATTTCCTATTTGTCTACCACGAAGCGCATTCAAGAAATAAGTCATTCAACAATCATCAAGCTGGTAGGGGCTTCATCTAAATAACCCCCCTCAACAGATATAAAAACTGACATCCAGGGAGGGAAACACACCTGCCCCAGCTCTCGTGTGACAGGCAGCACCACCAAGCGGTCAGCAGCACAGACTCTGCACCTGTGCTATTCAGCACAGCAGCCACTGGCCACACGTGGCAACTGAGCCCTTGAAATGTGGCTAGTCAGAACAGAGATGCACCATGAGCGTAAATATACACTGGATTTCAATGACTTAGTACAAAAACAAAAACGTAAATTTTCTCATTATTAATTTTTTTTGTAGATTACATGTTGAAATGATAATGGTTTAGACATACTGGCTTAAATAAGATATTAAAATTAATTTCACTTTTTTTTTAAACTTTTTAAAAATGTGGCTACTAGAAAATCTACTGTGACACAGGTGGCTTTCCTATTGGACAGGGCTGCTCTAACAGCCGGTTGGCCTGGGTTGGAATCTCGGCCCCACCACTGGCTAGCTGTGCCATGCTGGGCAAATTGCTGACCCTGCCTAGGCCTCAGTCCAATCATCTGAAAGATGGAATATGAACTGGACCTAGCACACATAACCCCTCTGCAGGGGTCAAAGGAGTTCATTTGTGCAAGGTGCTCTTAGAAGAGAGCTCAGCACATGGATATTGCAAAAGTCTAGGCATCTTGTTTCTGAGAATGAAAAGATTAAATGACTATTTAAAATAACAGCTTTATTGAGATACAATTCACATACCACAAGTCAGCCTTTTAGAATATACAAGTTGGGGGCCGGCCCGTGGCTCACTCGGGAGAGTGCGGTGCTGATAACACCAAGGCCCCCGGTTCGGATCCCATATAGGGATGGCCGGTTAGCTCACTGGCTGAGCGTGGTGCTGACAACACCAAGTCAAGGGTTAAGATCCCCTTACCTGTCACCTTTAAAAAAAATATATATATATATACAAGTTGGTGGTTTCTAGTATATTTACCCCATTGTGCAATCATCACCATTATCTAATTCCAGAACATTTTCATTACCCCAAAAAGAGACCCCATGCTCATTAGCAGTCACTCCCCATTCTCCCCTCTGCCCAGCCCTTGGCAACTACTAATCTACTTTCTGTCTCTACTGATTTCCCTAATCTGTACTTTCATTTAAATTAAATCAAAATATGTGGTCTTTGTGACTAGCTTCTTTTACTTAGCATGTTTTTAAGGTTCATTCATGTTGAACTGTGTGTGAGTATTTCATTCTTTTTCAGGGTCAACTAATTCTTTATATGAATAGACCACTTTGTGTTTATCCACTTATCACCTGATGGACATTTGACTTGTTTTCACTTTTTGACTACTGTGAATAATCCTGCAATGAACATTCATGTACAAGTTTTTGTGTGGACATATGTGTTCATTTCTCTTGGGCATACACCCAGGAGTGGAACTGCTGGGTCATATTGAAACTCTGTGTTCAACCTTTTGAGGAGCTGCCAGACTGTTTCCCAAAGTGGCTGCACCATTTTACATTCCCACCAGAAGGCTGTATTTTTCATGTATGCTCAGATGTGGGTTTTCTTTTCCTCTTTTAACTTCTGACAGGCTGATTTGGTAGAAATGCAGGGAAAGATGGGGGAGGAGGGGGGAGGAGCAAGCAGCAGAGCAGAGGCATGAAGGGCAAAGGGGCCTGGTGATGCTTTTCCCAGAGCCCTGGGCTTCGCTCCTGTCGGGCCCTGACTTGCTGTGCGGGCTCAGGCAAGTCACCTCTCCTCTCTAGGCTCAGTTTTCCTACCTATAAAATTTAGGTGTTAGACCAGTTGGTCCCATTTGGAAATGTTTGGAGATATTTTGGGTTGTTACAGTGGGGAGGGTGATGCTACTGGTATCTAGTGGATACAGGCCATGGATTCTGCTAAACATTCTACAATGCACAAGGCAGCCCCAATAACAAAGCATTATCTGGCCCCAAATATCAATAGTGTCCATGTTGAGAAACCTACTATTAGACTAAAGTGACCCTGTAGGAACTTTTCATAAATGGCTAAACTGTTTTCCCAAATGGCTATACCATTTTATAAATCCCTTAGCAATGTATAAGGGTTCCAATTTTACCACATCCTCACTAACATACATACTTTAGCCAACCTAATAGGTGTGTAAACAGCTTTTCAAAAGTCTTTTCGGTCAGCAATGTCCAAGATTGTTTACAGAATGCCAGTGTCATAAAGAAAAATGTTAGTCATTTTCTTACCTGGTGCCTGTAATTAAACCAGCCATTTGAACCCGCGACGATCACTACCCAGTGCTTGCCTCCATCCTCAGGATCGTCCACAAAAACAGCAGCAGTTCCCAGGACCAAGCTGAGTAATGTGGCTACTTTCCAAATCATTCTGCACCTTGGAGTTCAAGTGCAGAAATCTGAGAAGAAAAAAAGCAGAGTCAAGTAAAAAGGAATGATCAAGAACAGATGAACACTGTTGGCCACTAAGCAAATACCTCAGAAAATGGATCAAAAAGAGACTACCACTTAGTTATCAGATAGAATGTGCTGAGGGTAACAATGAAGGCAAAGAGGAATTCTATCTATGTCCAGCCCTGCTGCCCCTTTCCCCACGTGGAGAAGGGGCTGCCCAGATTTCCCAACCTTCAGTACAAGTCAAAGTTATGTGCAGAAACCAAAGAATACCCAGAAAGCTCTTTGGGCTCCTTTTAAAGTTTTTGTCACAACTCAAAATACAACAGATACAATTCATCAACAAAATTCACTGTGTTGGAAAACTATCTACCACATACTGTGAACTGTTTGTAAGAATAGGATATATAGGTTTAAACCTGCCTTGTCATTCTGGTCAAGATGGCAGAATAGACAGTCCCGAGCATCACTCTCTCCCACAAATCAACAAATTTACAACTATAAAAATGTAACAACAGCCAAGCTGGGGCCACTGGAGCTCAGGGGAAGAGGAGGAGAGACCTACGGAGTTCATGAAGGGGGAGAAGCAACAATGAGAGAAAAAAAATTGCTTGGAGAGTTTCGGGACCCAGCTGCTTTAAGCCTGGAGCTGCTGAGCACATGGAGCAGGAGCCCGCAGAAGCCACGGTTGTGTCCTTCAAATGGAGTTACTTGGAGGCGGCAGGGGAAAAGAGGGTCTTGGTGGCCCCCAGGACAGCAAGACCGCTAACAGGGTTCCCATGGACCTATACAGGAGCAAGGAGCCAAAACAGCTAAAAAAGGGGAGCCATTCAGAGGCTGGTGAGTCATCAAAAGGGACCCACACAGTGCCCATCCCACGGGAAGTGTTTGGAGCATGGTGGAGAGGAAGATGGGCCCACCGGGAGAACACTGGGACACAGCAAGGACAGCCGATCTGCCCCTCAATCAGCACAGGACCACTCAAAGGAGACTGGTCGGGAATGCAGAATTGAATGGAGTGGAGTGCAGTTTAACGAAAAGATTCAGGCCCAGATCAGAGTTTCCACACAACCCAGGTGCACCTGGTCTCTGGAGAGCCAGAAGTACCTATAAGATCAGCCATTAAACCCTGATCTGCACAAAAAGCCTTCCCTAGGGAAACAGCAGCAAAGCAGCAATTTAGCTCAACCACACAGCTCAAGTCCTGGTTCCCAAAGGAAGTTCCCCCGTTTTAGAAGTAAGCAAAGGACCAAAAACTAGTTCTGGCCCAGGTACACCACCAGTGCCTCAGGGACTGCCAGGGGACCTGAGCTCTAGAGCAGGGGACCAGACCCCCCACCCACAGCCAGGCATACTGCCAACACCAAGGAGCATGCCAAAAACATCACCTCCATGTGGGTGGCCCACCACAGCCACCACAGTAACCACGGCTGCCAGCTATGAAAGTGGCTAGACGTCACAACCACCACGCAGATGGTCCGCCAGCCACTGGAGTGCATTAACACAGGAGCATCACCAGCAGAGACCAAAGAAAAGAATAGGATGTCTCTCTCCACAAAGCCCATTCCTGAGTGACAGAAGAAGCCTCTGTTCTATGATAATATCGGGGGACCTGAACACACCTGTCAGCATTGGACAGTTCATCTAAGCAACAAATCAACTGAGTAACCATTACTCTTTCAGAGGGAGAGAAGAAATCTAGGGTTATCAGGGGTGGTAGGCAGGACGGATAGGGGGATAAGGAGAGATTGAACAAGGGGCATAAAGAATAAGTACAATTTGTAACAATATATATACTAGTAATATTGATTTGATCAACATGTGTTAACACTGAATCCCAAAAGTAAGTATAATCAATTATGTTTCAATAAAACAAAACAAAACAAAACAAACAAAACAAAAAAATCCCTGCCTTGCAAATGGGGGAAAAAAAAGTATATATATGTAATATGAGGTGTGCATAGAAAAATGTGAAAGGCAGGCACAAAACTTTAATAGAAGTCATTGCTGTGCGGTAGGTGGAATTAAGGGTGATTTCCTTCTTCGTGTCTGTTGCTTTTTAATGTACATTACTTATACAATAAAGTGTGTAAAGATTCAATACATGTTCAATATAAACATGGACGTGCAATTTAAGTTTATGAGTGAACTACCTAAATAAGCTATAGTTGAACATTAATTCACGTCTTTGTACATGAACAAAGTACATGTGCAGAACAAGTACATGTATTCTGTGCAACAGGCACAGCGAATATTCTTATCCTTGTTTTACAATAGTTCACTTTGACCAGACACCAGACCCATGCCTTTTGAATTCCTGGTCCAGCTCTCTTTCTGCTGCATGGCTCTGCATTCTCAAGACTTTATTCTCAATGAAGTACATGCCGTATCCTATGTTTCAATGCTCAAACTTTAAATAAATGTTTAAAGTACAAAAAGCAGGAAGGAATAAGCCTGAGTCCCAGCCACCTTATATTACTAGATTAGAAGACCCTATCCTGTGTCCTGAACATGTTATTCTAAAAAAAAAAGAAGCCTTCCTGTGACAGAAAATACAGCCAGACCTGTGACTCTGCGATAAGAGGAGAAACACAGTCTTTGCAATGTGGGGACTGGGAGCAGAAGAGAGCGCGGGGCTGATCTCTGCCTCCAATGCCACTTGGCAAGCAGCGCTGACCATGCTCATTCACACACCCACCCAGCCAGTCTCCTGAACACCGACTGCCAGACAATGTGCCAGGTGCTGGGAACTCAATAGGAACAGGGTCAAAGCTTCTGCCCTCACAGATCCTGCAGCCAGCTAAGGGATGACCCACCCCAAGCTGCCCAGCACTCAAAATGATAAACGTTCTCTCTTTAGTAAAGAAAACAGGAAGCTCTGAGTCTCTTGTAAACGTTCAAAGAACTAAGAGTGCCTTAGGCCAGTGGTTTCCAACTTAATCTTGCACCAGATCACCTGGGGTTATTGATAAGAAGCAGATTCTGATTCAGTATGCAGGCGGTAAGGCCTGAGACTGTTCAGGTGACACCCTGTGTAGCCTCAAGACTACTCTGGTGTAGCAGACCTAAGCCCAGCGTCCTGGCCAAGAAACTGCACTGGTCCATCCCTGCAGTGCCTCCTACCCAAGAGCTTAATTCTTAACCTTTAAGCCTGAATTGGTGCTAGATATAGGTTTCTTGGCTCCACTGCAAGGTCCATGAATGGGTAACTATAGTAAGGTGCCCCCAGATTTTTGGGGGGGGGGGGTTAGAATGGCACATAACAGATGAGGTCTGGTCTGTTAAGTGCACCCCAGGAGGCTCTTCCTAAGTCCATTCAACCTGGCCAGGGCTGACTGTGGGGCCGGAAGGTAACTAATAAAAGGTACAATTTTACAAAGGTATGAAGAAGCAACAGTGAAGTCAGGCAAGAAAGAGTCAGAACTTCAGAGCCATCCATGTCCCCAGAACTCTCCCATGGCTCCTCAGGGGAGGTGTTCCAACCAACAGCCAATTCTGGGGCCCTGGAGGCAATTAAGCCTTCCTGGGAAGCCTTCCTCTAAGGAAGGGGTCGGCAAGTTTTTTCTGTAAAGGACCAGACAGTAAATACTTTAGGATTTACAGGCTAGGCCATTTCTCTCACAAATATTCAAGGCTACCACTGTATCTTGAAAGCAGCCAGAGACCATATGTAAATGAATGGACTCTGCTATGCCCTAATAAAACTTGATCTGTAAAATCCAGGTGGTTTGTTTGGCCCATGGGCCATTTTGCTGACCCTGCCCTAGGGAGTGAGACCGTGTCCCCGGCTCACATGACAGGTACTGCCCGGCTGGTTATCATAACCTTCCAACAATCACTAAACAACCTCCCTGGTTTGCATGCCAGTCTCTTCTGAGTTTGCTTTTATTACTTAGTCCAAAAAGGCTCATTTCTCTGGGAGCACTGTTATGTGACTTTCTCCCTTCACATTCAGGGGAAAAAAGAATAAGTAAAATACTAGCTCAAATGGTTGAAATGACCTTGAACAACAGAATGGACACCACCAACTTAATTAGCAAACAATGCAGCAGGCATCAAAAACGCATCAAGTTTATCTTTCATTCTTCTAATATACTAGCAAGTTACTCCTCAGTGAAGAAAAGTGCCTTAACACACAAATGCTATTTTCACAGCTAATATTTGGTGATGGTTCCCCTCTATCACCAATTTTTCTTATAAACACAGCGTTGTGATTCCTTGAACTTAACACTGAGTTAAAATCCTTGTGGTACCGCACTCGAAAGCACTATTTTGGAAAATATATTGAGGCCTGGGGTAAAGATGAGACATGAAAGTAGTATAATTATTCCATGACCCTCAGCAACCAGCGTGTCTCAACGCAGTCCGCCTTAGGCAGCAATGTCCCTACCAGCATCACTGCATTATTCCTGACAAAGTCAAAGCATCAAAACAAAGTCACAAATCATCTTGTAGCATTCTATAATTCTCATTTTAGCAAAGTGAAAAATTGATAAAGTAAAACTGATGAAGAAAAAGATCCCTGCTAAACTAGCTCTTTGTGACTCTGCTATTTTTCGCTCCATGGTCCTCCATGGTCCCAGTCACACAGGTGTCATTATCTACTTCCCCCTTAACCTGTCCTCATGCCCACCCCCTCCAACACCCACCCCCCCATCTCTCCAACAAACGTGGCCTAAATACCCACTAGCTGCTCACTAGCTCTGAACAGTGAACTAAACAGACAAAGCCTTTGGCTAGGCTGACATTCTACAGGGAGGAAACAGATCATTTTAAATATCCAGGTTGTCAGATGGTGATGAGAGCTACGGAGAAAAATAAGGCAGAAGGGGGGGAGTCCCAAGAGGAGTGGGAGTACCATTTTTAAAAGGGGGGAAGCCCTGAAGGAGGTGAGGGAGCTGGAAGCAACATAAATGCCCATCCACAAGGGACTGTCACTAAATCAATTATGGTACATCCTTATAATGGGATACCATGAAACTTTTTTAAAAAGTAAGGTAGATCT